GGCTTTCACATTTGAGCCATAGGAAGGCACTCTTACTCAGAGCCTGGTGTTTTTTTTTTTTGTTTTTTTTTTTACTTTACACAATTTAATGAGCTTAGTTATTTGGAAAAAAGCCTTATTTAGCTTGAACATGTTGCTTGGACATTTGGAAACCCTTGTGTTGCCTTATCACATTCCTTGGTCAATTAGGAACCAACACCACTTGGTCTCATCATTCTTAAAGGGCTTTGCTCACTGGTACATCTTTAATATCTTTTCCCTAGGACACATTACTGAAAACACCTGGCTCAAGGGATATGTTGTCAAGGTATAGCCAGAGATAATAGAGAAGATTGTTTTTCACAGTGTCATGTAGGAAACAAACTCAGAGTTTCTCTCTCCTACCCAATATTCTGATACCTCAACTTCTCTCCCCAGAGGTTCCTTTGACAAGGACTTTAGTGAGCAGAGGTGGGGCTGTCACTTGCCCCAGGATAAAGTTCCTCACATTGAGAGTCACTTTCAATTCTTCTCTGTTGTGGAACCTTGTGAATACAAGCAAGCTTTTTCTTTATGAAGAAGCCAGGTAAGTATCAAGCTTAGCTCCATAGGGAAGGCTGAGTGAGAGATAGCCCTACTTCATAGGCAGGCTGCAGAAAGGCTGCAGAAATGCTTTCTCCAAATTCTGTAGTTGGGGGCTGAAAAACTAGGGAGGTATTTGCGAAAAAGTCTCATTCGTGAAATATGGGATGTAATATTAGAGCACTTTTTGCCCTCTCTGAGTAACACTGATGTTATTACCCCAGAAACCAACATCCACTTTCCATTGTTGGTATAGTGCCTATAGTACAGCATGGGCTCAGTAAATACTCTTTTTTTACCCCCAATTTCATTGTTTCTCCATCTCAGATAGGCCAGGAGAAATTTTCCTATTCCTAATCCACTTTCCTTCCAATAATCCTTTGAGGTAGGTAGTTTAATTATGATTGTGTCTATTTTATAGAGTGGGAAATTGGGGCTTAAAGTTACCTGCCACAAATTCCACTACTTAAGTGGTGGCTAAAGGATTAAAAATAAACCCTGGCTTTCTGTATCTAAAGCTAGTGACTTCTACTAGGACCCATCATGTGTGTTTTCTTTTCTTTCTTTTTTATGGGGAGAGGTGGGCTTTGCATTAACTCATCTCCTTAATACCATCCTCTTAAAATTCTTGTTTGCTTTTCCTTAACTTTTAATTCTTTTTTTTTTTTTTGCATTCTTATTATTGGGTTGTCAGTTGTCATTTTTCATGAATATCAAGGCACCTCCCTCTATCAAAATCTCACATGCTTTCTGCCTTTATATTTTCTGCCTTTGAACTATTGT